CGTTAGCTGCACTGTTTATATTGAGGAAAAAAGGCTTGAAATGAACTGAATTAGTAGTTTGCAGCTACTATTAAGCATTCTTTTTTGGTCCAGCATTGTGTTTTTTTTTTTTTTATTCTCAGTTGATGACAGAATGTTATAAAGTCAGAATTCAGGAGTAGAACAGTTATTATCCTGAAGATGCTTTGCTAACGTTACTAGCTACAACCAGGAAGGGAAAAAAGCTGTGCCCTAATGTACACTTCCAGGTATAATGGAGGATTTGCACAGAAACAGATCTAGACACGGGAAAGAGAGAATCCAGAGGAGCATAAAAAGCAAGAGAGGGCAGAAAAGGAGCATGAACTCACGCCTGCAATTGTTTATATATTGGATCTGCATGCAGAAAATGGTTACAATGCAAATGGAGACCAGTTCATATGAATATGTTTAAAATAAAACTGCTGGTATCCTGATTTATTACGTAATTGACCTTTTGGCAGAATTCTGACTTTATACAAATATTTCAGGATAAAACTTGTTTACACCTGTGGTTTAGATCCTTTTTAAATAGCGTTTTCTTTTCTAAGTGTTAATAAGGAGATGTCCTGCAGAGCACCGTTTGTACCCCATGGCTCGGTTACACTGGAAAAAATCGGAATCTAGAAAAGTCACTTTTTCTTAACATAAGTGAATTTGTTCTTGGATTGAGGACGTAAGAGAGACATTTTACCAACAGAGCAAGACAATTTACATTTAAAACAATTAAACACAATTACATTGTCTTACTTCAAGCGCATGTTATCAAATTATCTTATTTTAAGAGTAAAAATACTCATGTTATTGGCAAACTATCTCATTTACCTATTCAAATTACGGGTAAATACACTTAATTTAAGACATTTTTACTTTTTTCTAGAGAGAACGTTTTTTCCAGTGTAACCCCGAGGATGCTGCTCACACCACCGCTGCAAAAAGTTATCTTAAAATAGTATAAAACTTCTTGAAATAAGTGTAATTACCCTTTATTTGATCAATCTGCTCATGGAAGGAGGATTTTTGCCTCTAAAATTAGATCATTATATATAATAATAATTACTTTTTTATTTATTTAGCAGTTTTAGAGCAAACATCTTATTCCTCTAGCAGATTGTTTTTACTGACCGACTCAAGTTCAGTATAAATTCATAGAGGCTATAAGTTCATAGTCCATCTAACTCTCTTCACTCTGTGTTCCTGATGTGTGCAGATGTGAAGCCCGCGGTGATAAGCCTGCAGCCGGTGGCCTCAGAGGCAGCAACGGCAGCGTCGGAGAGCGGCGGCCTTCCCAGCTCCTCCAACAGTGTAGCCGTCCAAAAGAGGCACAAAGCCAGAGAGCATAAGAGGGTTTACCGCTGCTCCCTCTGCAGTAAGGTCTTCCAGAACAGCAGCAACTTGAACCGACACGTCCGATCCCACGGTGAGAGCCGGTTTGCTCGTTTAGCGCAGCCGCCTCCTCTCTCCCAAATGCAGTGACTGGATGCACGAGTAACTCTGGTGACTCTTCTCAGGTGATAAGCTGTTCAAATGCGAGGAATGCGATAAGTTATTCAGCCGTAAGGAGAGTCTGAAGCAGCACATTTCCTACAAGCACAGCAAGAATGTGGTGAGTGGCGCCTGGAACTTTTCCCTCCAGCCTCCCCTTCTTCCTGTTGGTTGATGTCTTTGCGTTTCCCCTCTGCTTCCAACAGCCCGACCAGGAGTACAAATATAAATGTAACACGTGTGAGAAATCCTTTCGCATGGAAAACGCCTTAAAGTTCCACAACTGCCGGACAGGTGATGCTTTTTGTTTGTTTCCTCTTTTTTTTCAGATGTTCAGAATTAAATTCTTGTCTCATTTAAATCTTGTAATTTTCTGTGTGTCGCCTGCAGATGACAAGACGTTCCAGTGCGACATCTGCTCTCGGTTCTTCTCCACCAACAGCAACCTCTCCAAGCATAAGAAGAAGCACGGCGAGAAGCTCTACTCCTGCGAGATCTGCAACAAAATGTTCTACCGCAAAGACGTGATGCAGGAGCACCACAGGAGGCACAGCGTGGGTGAGTCGCTGCTGTGATAGTCAGAGGAAGCCGGCAGGCTCAGAGTTACTCTGGAGGAGCTACAGAGTTATGAGAGAGGTGAACAGAAATTCCTCAACCTGCTGGAAGAGCTTCCCTGATCAAAGCCACTATCCAGCCTACAGGGACCAAGCCTCACATTAGTGACCCGGTGGTGGCAGCATCATGCTGTGGGGGAGATTCTCCTTTTTAGGGGGGTAAGATAAGCTGGTAAAGGCTTCAAAGAACTTTATTTTTAGAGAAGGTAGGGTTTTCCTGTGGAGAACGACCCGGCCTGTCCTGTGACGTCCCCTGCTGTGACTGAATGATTAGTTAATGTGGATGGATGGGTTATCCATGATGAGAGGTCACATTTAGGAGGCCTCCAGGTGGAAATGAGAGAATTTGACCTTATTAGAGTTATAGGCTTAGGTTACCTAGTCTAAGGTAAATAAAAATAATGTGCGCATAGGAAACTAAAACAGCTTTCCTTTAATTAGATGAAACCCAAATTGTAGTTAAATATATAAAGTGTTATTTAAAGAGTTTGTCCCGAGTGACCCGGAGAGAGAGCTTCAAGGTCCATACACAGAGCCATCTTCAACAGGTTCATCTTCTAATGATCCTAAGGGCTCCGCCAGAGCTGCAGTGGGATTGATCAGAGATGTTTATTGTATTATAGGGTGGAGCTATGGTTGAGTTTATTATTCCTTTATTATTATTACTATTAATTAATTTAGAGACGGCTCCAGACAAGCAGAGCGTGTGGTGACATCACGAGTAGGGTTGGGAATTTGTAAGATTTTTACGATTCTGATTCTCTTATAGATTCTGCGAAAAAATAAACTTGGTAAGTGCACGGTGACATCCGTCTACCTTCCCCTCGGACATTCTATTTCTGCCTGCCCCTGTGAAAACAGAAGGCAGTGAACAGGAGCTGCCAGCCTCTGAGCCAGCCAGGCTACCCGTCTCGTCACAGTCGTCTAAGTTTAATGGAGAAGGCATCCGTTTGATGAAAACGCATTATTGTACAATTTCAGGAAATAAACTCAGTACCCCCTGATTTAAATAAACAAGGTCTCTCGCTCCCTGAACTGCGGAGCAACTTCGTAGCATGTTTAATAGCCCCAAAGAGACTTACCACCAGAGTTGCCTTCCATGCTGGTCGTAACTTTAGCTTCTGCCTGGAAGGCATCAGAAACACGGCATTCGTTAAAATGTATGCCATGTTATGTGCTCAGGTGTTTCTGCATGTTGGATGTATTTCCTCTCGTGGATGTAATTGCCACTTTGCAATGATTGCAAAGCACCTTGTTGCCATCTTTCTGTTCCTTAAAATGAAGCTAAACTTTCGATCGGTTTACCTGATGGACAGCCATTTTTTTTGTTTTGCTTTTCTAGACTTACGCCTGGTCATGTTGTACTTGCTTACTAAATGCCGTGTGTGTAACTTCTGTAAAAAATGTGATGTAAGTCGTGCTGCCCGGCGCTAGGCTCTGGTGCTGCCTGGAAACGTTAAGAGAATTGTTAAGCGAGCTGCCAAATGGTGCCGTGGAATTCCCATCCCTAGTCAGGAGTACGCTTCTGTTCCAATTGACCCATATTTATGCTGCGTGCTCCCGTTCTCCCAGAGTCCACACTTTCCTGTGTTCTTTTCAAGAACATACCTAGCGAGGACACAAGTCAGTACTCGCGTTCTTGTGAATTGAGAAATGACCCAGGTGTCTAGAACCAGGGCACAGACAATACCTAACTACAGGAGGACTTGAAGCTGCTGCACTTTCACCCTCTGGGTTTTAGGCCTCATTTTTATGCCCCGTCGGCAATCACTGCCCTCTTCTAAGGCCCTCCATCCCAGATAATCAGAATCCAGCGACCCGGTTTCATTCCCCATCATCTCTAAATTGCTGACTAACCTGTTGTACTTATGAACAGGCCCCAAACAGATGAAGAAGGAGGAGCTAGAGGCTAACGGAGAAGAAGGGACCAAGTACAGGAAGGAGCCGTCTCCTTGTCCCATCTGTGGGAAGGTGAGTTTGGTGTTAATGGTGCTGCTGGAAGCCGCTCCAGTACTCAAGTGGACGTGCATGAAAATGCTACCTTCACACTGCAGGTTTTAATGCTTGTTTTCCCATCACCTTTAAAATGTGTCCTGTATCCGACCAATAAAGCCTTGTTACACACAGCAACATGGAGAAGTAGGTGTCATGTCATGTGTTTCAGGGAGATCTGACTGAATCTGTCTGATCATCACCTGCTCACTAACCTCTATTGCAGTTTAAAGTCCTCAGTTTAAAGGGTTGTTTACTAAAGCTAAAATGCTGTTTCCCTCATCCCAATGGTTCCTACTGTATAAGCGTTTTAACTAGGCCTGAATAACGTTTGTATTGTTTATTTACAAATGTTCGTTTCTTGATTTCTCTCCACTGAGCATCGCTCTTGAAAAAGGTGAAATTTTCCATTGTTTTAGGTGGTAATTAAGACAATTTGGTAATAGAATTGGACGATTTAGGCTTAAAATAAGAAGAAACCCCCTTGATTATCTAAATTTTATGTTTTAATATCTTATTATCTTACATTTTGGGCAAAAAACTCATTCTATTGTCAGATCATTTTATCTTCTTGCCTAAATCAATCGAAAATACAAAAATTTTTGGAGAATTTTCCACATTTTTGTGTTAGTTGTTGCAGTGTTACTATCCCAGCTTCTGTCTTTTTTTGCTGTCTGTTGTCGTTTCCCGCATGGCGGTATTCTGTCAGATGAGCACACTTCATCAGACCAGAATACCTGTAGTCAATACGCATGCACACGAGGTCAGATTTCCATTTTTCCTTTTAAATTGTACGAAAAATAGACTTTAAACTACCTTGATGGGTGTGTATCCATTTAGTCATGTACAAAAAAAACTATTTAAGATGAGATAAAAAAACAACTCAAAAACTAAGTAATAAATAGTTTTCTTTAACGCGACAAAAGGGATGCACACCTGTTGAGGTAGTTTTAAGTTTATTTTTCGTAAAAAAAAAAACTAAAGATAAACAGGTATTGACTATGGGTATGTTGTTCTGAGCGGGTATGCTCATCTGACAGAACAGCGGCACAAAAATATGACGAATTTCATGCAAAATGATGTCAAAGTCGCGTCTAATCTTCATCCTCCTGCTTGAGTCTTATTCCAAAAGATGAGATTCGAGTCAGATTCAGGAGCTAATGAAGGAGGTGAAAAGGTTTTAATTAGACCGGATCACTGGACTCCAATAGAGTCTGATTTTGGGCCTGCAGTGTGAACGGGAAGCGTTCTCAGGTGCTTTATCTGACGCTGCTGGTCTGTGTCCAGGTTTTCTCCTGCAGGAGTAACATGAACAAGCACCTGCTGACTCATGGGGATAAAAAGTACACCTGTGAGATCTGCGGACGCAAGTTCTTCCGTGTGGACGTCCTCCGGGACCACATCCACGTTCACTTCAAGGTGAAACTCCCTTATTAAGGTCATATCTGCGGTCAGGGAACAGAAAGGAACCCTTCCAGAATCTGCTGCGCCGCCATGTTCACAGCTCTGCTCCGCTTTCAGGACATCGCCTTAATGGACGAGCAGGAAAGAGAGGAATTCATCAAGAAGATCGGCATCTCGCCGGAAGACAGCGACGAAACGGACGAGGAGGACGATCCCGAGCATCACAAGTACAACTGCAAGAAATGTCAAGTAAGCTCTGCTTTGATAAAAAGCAAACAAATGAGCAGTTCTGGGAGGAAGAAGCTAGCTGAATGAAAAGCAGACGAGGAAGGCAGTTTAAAGCGTTCAGTGCTTGACTGGAGTCATCTGCTTTTTATGCCCAGCTGTCGTTTGCCAGAGGCAAAGATTACCTGAAACACATCATGGAGCAACACAAGGAGAAAGGCCACAGCTGTGGGATCTGCAACCGCCACTTTGCCCTTAAGGCAACGTACAACGCTCACCTGGTCATCCACCGAGAGCAGCTGCCTGACCCCGCCGTGCAGAAGTAAGGCGGCGCTGGCCGTTAAACACAGATAGCAAAAAGTCAAATCCAAGTTTGTTTGTCTTTTTTAAATAAGTCGATTTCTCCTTGATTTGAGCGGTTAAGCAAGACAATCTGCCAATGGAATAAGATTAATGTTTAAATAAGGAAAAAGCAAATCCATCATCTTATTTCAAAGGCTTAATATCTAAGTTATCTTAAGGTTGCTGGGAAGTCATATTTAAATGTCAAATCATTCTGGCCTAAACATGCATATAAATGTACTCTTTATCAGACCATGTTGTCCCAAAATTTGGAAAATTTCTATTTAAAAAATAAAATCTGTCTTAAAATCTTTTTTTTTTTCCGTTATTATCTACAGGCCAGTTAGTTATAAGTCAGCTTGTACAACTAAATTTGTCCAATCATATATCAAAGATCATCTGTCAATCACATTTTTTGGGTCATACCATCTTGATTCATATGTCGCAGCTAATATACGCAACGGTTGGAATAAGAATAATTTCCCCTCCCATTGAGTTCCGTCCCAGTGTTCACAGGGATGGACGTCTGTGTCTTCAGCAGGCGTAGAGCTAACAGAACTGGCAGTATTGCGAGGCGAGGGCTCAAACATGTACGGCTGGAAGCCTTCTACACCAAACCAAGCTTCTGCCGCCCTGGCGTCCTCTTCCACAACATCTTCCTCCCCGCTTTCCTCCTCTAAATAAAAAATGTATGACGGAGGAGACTCATCCACGACCTCTGACATTAAACTCTCCTCCTCTTGCATGTTTCCTCTGTCCATAGCGTTCCTTGACAGTGTCGTTTCTAAGTCACCAATTTAGTGCTTCTTGGTCCCAATGGAATTTCCCATTGGGAACCTACTAGCATTAAGTTGCTAACTGGTTAGAAAGAAGCTTCAAAGAAACCGGCCACAATCAAACTTGCTTGTGAATCTTCCACCACAACAATCCCGCCCCCTTAATAAACGACCAATCACATTCACTTTATTCACTCGGTTAAAGTCATGCACCAATCGGGAGAATTCGGAAATGCAACGTTGGAACAGCCGTTTTTCTACGACTTTAAGGCAAAAAAACTTTTTTTGTAGTTTGTCTTATCTACCTCTTTATAATAAGGGAAAATAAATTTGTTTTAAGGAAGCTTTATTTTCTGCCCAGTGTTTCAGTGTAAAGTCTCCTGCTCTCCAGGTACATCCATCCCTGTGAGATGTGTGGTCGGATCTTTAACAGCATCGGCAACCTGGAAAGACACAAGATTATCCACACAGGTGAGAGACGAGTTCTTCCTCGCTTTTAACATAAATGGCCAAACTTCCTCTGAGGTTATCTGGAACTCCTCTACTTGTAATCTGACATCCATTTGGAAGGTCATGAATGCAGCACCAGCCACAGCATTAAAATGTAACAGTGTTTAGAAATCAAAAGTTTGTGTCAGTAAACAGGCAGCTAATGGGTTTTTATTTGTTTGTTTGTCTTATAACAGCAGCGCTCGATGTTAACCATTGTCCGATCGCCCGGGGCAAGTAGTTTTTATTGTCGGGAGAGTACAAATTTCTTTGCATTTGCCCGCAGGGCAAGAAAAAATTATTTATCACTCAAAATGACTTTAAAATCCCCGACATTCGCTGAAAACGACCCACAAGCGTTGTCGGCGCCATCTTTGTTGTTTTGTACACATTCTCGCATGATTTGAAAAAAACGCGTTATTTTCCGCTAGATGGCGTGATTCAGCTCTTGGGGAGAGAGTTCTGCAGAGCAGCAGCTGGATGATTAATTTAATCTATACTATAATACACGCTAGATTAAAAATGATCAGTCAGGGATTAGGAAAATAATAATAATAACTGTATGCGATCAGTGTAAATATTTCTATCATATGGCAGTCTTCTGTACAGTGGTCATACATTAAAAAATGTTCATTAAACTTTTTTCTCTTAGACATTGGAGTGGTGCATTTAAATGTTAGAGAGCTAAACATGTTAAATTGGTGAGTAGTAGTAGTGTAAGTTTTTAAGCTGTCAAGTTTTCTTTAGATTTTTAACATTACAATTTATATTTTTCCAAGCACACAACAGTTTAAAGCAAAGTTTAGTTTGAAAAGAATGTGCAGGAAAGATTGAAAAGCATGTTAACACGGTAATGTAGGCTTGAGTTCATTATCTGACGCATGCAGATACACACCAGGAACCTGTAAACTTACTGAATTACAAAAAAACATTTAAAAAACAAACATGTTTCATTGATTTATATATGTACAAAAATGAATATTAGAAACTCGTACTCGTACTCGTCGTCTCCCGCTTTATCCGGAACCGGGTCGCGGGGGCAGCAGGCTAAGCAGAGACTCCCAGACTTCCCTCTCCGCAGACACCTCCTCCAGCTCTGTTGGGGGAAGCCCTAGGCGCTCCCAGGCCAGCCGAGAGACATAGTCTCTCCAGCGTGTCCTGGGTCGTCCCCTGGGCCTCCTCCCGGTGGGACATGCCTGGAACACCTCCCGAGGGAGGCGTCCAGGGGGCATCCGAAGAAGATGTCCGAGCCACCTCAACTGACTCCTCTCGATGTGGAGGAGAACCGGCTCTACACTGAGCCTCTCCCGAATGACCGAGCTCCTCACCCTATCTCTAAGGGAGAGCCCAGCCACCCTGCGGAGAAAGCTCATTTCAGCCGCTTGTATCCGGGATCTCGTTCTTTCGGTCATGATCCAAATTTCATGACCATAGGTGAGGGTAGGAACGTAGACCGACCGGTAAATTGAGAGCTTTGCCTTTTCGCTCAGCTCTCTCTTCACCAGGACAGACCGGTGCAGCGTCCGCATTATTGCAGCAGCCGCACCGATCCGTCTATTGATCTCCCGCTCCATTCTTCCCTCACCGTGAACAGGACCCCAAGATACTTGAACTCCTCCACTTGAGGCAAGGACTCCCCTCCAACCCGAAGGGGACAAGCCACCTTTTTCCGGTCGAGAACCATGGCCTCGGATTTGGAGGAGCTGATTCTCATCCCGGCCGCTTCACACTCGGCTGCGAACCGCCCCAGCGCACGCTGTAGGTCTTGGCAGGAGGGAGCCAGCAGAACTACGTCATCCGCAAAAAGCAGGGACGAGATCCGCTGTTCCCCAAATCAGACCCCCTCCGGTCCTTGGCTGCACCTAGAAATCCTGTCCATAAAAGTTATGAACAGGACCGGTGACAGAGGGCAGCCCTGTCGGAGTCCAACATGCACCGGGAACAGGTCCGACTTAATGCCGGCAATGCGAACCAGACTCCTGCTCCGCTTGTACAGAGAACGGATGGCCCCTAATAAAGGGCCCCTGACTCCATACTCCTGGAGCACCCCCCACAGGGCAGCACGAGGGACACGGTCGAATGCCTTCTCCAAGTCCACAAAACACATGTGGACTGGTTGGGCAAACTCCCATGAACCCTCAAGCACCCTGCAGAGGGTGTAGAGCTGGTCCACCGTTCCACGGCCAGGACGAAAACCACACTGCTCCTCCTGCAGCCGAGGTTCGACAATCAGCCGGACTCTCCTCTCCAGCACCCTGGCATAGGCCTTTCCGGGGAGGCTGAGAAGTGTGATTCCCCGATAGTTGGAACACACCCTCCGGTCCCCCTTCTTGTGGAGGGGAACCACCACCCCAGTCTGCCAATCCAGGGGAACTGTCCCCGACCTCCACGCGATGTTGAAGAGACGTGTCAACCATGACAGCCCGACAACATCCAGAGCTCTGAGATACTCAGGTCGGATCTCGTCCACCCCCGAAGCCTTGCCACCGTGGAGTTTTTTGACTACCTCGGTGACTTCAGCCTGGGTGATGGACGAACCCAGCCCCAAGCACCTCGTCTCTTCTTCCCCCACGGAAGGCATGTCTGTCGGGTTGAGGAGATCCTCAAAGTATTCCACCGCCCGACAATATCCTCCTTCAAGGTCAGCAGCTCCCCACACCCACTAAAAACAGTGTTAGTGAAGCACTGCTTTCCCCTCCGGAGGCGCCGGACGGTTTGCCAGAATCGCTTTGAGGCCAACCGATAGTCTTTTTCCATGGCCTCTCCAAACTCCTCCCAGGCCCGAGATTTTGCCTCTGCAACCGCCCGGGCCGCGACAAGCTTGGCCTCACGGTACCTGCTTGCTGCTTCAGAAGTCCCACAAGCCAGCCAGGCTTGATAGGACTCCTTCTTCAGCTTGACGGCATCCCTTACTATCGGTGTCCACCACCGGGTTCGGGGATTGCCACCACGACAGGCACCGCAAACCTTACGGCCACAGCTACGGGCAGCCGAATCGACAATAGAGGCAGAGAACACAGCCCATTCGGACTCCATGTCTCCAACCTCCCTCGGAACCTGAGAGAAGCTCTCCCGGAGGTGGGAGTTGAACACGTCTCTGACCGAGGGCTCCACCAGACGTTCCCAGCAGACCCTCACTACACGTTTGGGCCTGCCGAGTCTTTCAGGCTTCCTCCTCTTCCAGCGTATCCAACTCACCACCAGGTGGTGGTCGGTGGACAGCTCCGCCCCTCTCTTCACCCGAGTGTCCAAGACATGCGGCCGAAGATCAGAAGATACGACTACAAAGTCGATCATCGACCTTCGGCCTAGGGTCGAAGCTAGAAATAGTTGGGCTCTCCTCTACGCACAGCCAGGGCTCTGGAACCCAGCTCCTTGAGAGAGGCTGGACTCTCTTCTACTCTGGAGTTACCCTCGAGGAGAGGCGGAGGGCGGGGGTGGGGCTGCTTGTCTCCCCCCAGCTCAGCCGTCTCGTGTTGGAGTTCACCCCGGTAGACGAGAGGGTCGCCTCCCTTCGCCTTCGGGTTGGAGGGAGGACTCTGACAGTTGTTTCGGCCTATGGGCCGAACGGCAGTACGGAGTACCAGGCCTTCTTAGCATCCCTGGGGAGGGTGCTAGAAAGCGCCCCTCCCGGGGATTCCATCATTCTGCTGGGAGACTTCAACGCCCACGTGGGAAACGACAGTGACACCTGGAGGGGCGTGATCGGGAGGAACGGGCCCCCAGCTCTGAACCCGAGTGGTGTCTCATTATTGGACTTCTGTGCAAGTCACGGATTGTCCATAATGAACACCATGTTCAGGCATAAGGATGTCCATCGGTGCACTTGGCACCAGGACACCCTAGGCCGAAGGTCGATGATCGACTTTGTAGTCGTATCTTCTGATCTTCGGCCGCATGTCTTGGAAATTAGAAACTATATTTATCAAACATTATACTGGGCAAGTAAAAATTGTTTCTGGGCAAATGAAATGTGAAAGTCACTTCCCTAAATGGCAAGTGGTAAAAATCCTTAACGTCAACCCCTGAACAGGGTTTCCGAACATTGAAATTACATAACATTTTTAAACTCATAATTTTAAATATAATTGTAATTAATTAATGGGATATTCTTGCATATTAGACAATTTAATTGGATGTTTAATATCTGCATCATGTATTAAAGGTACTGAGGACGATCTATTATTTCTGGGTGGATCATCTAAATAAGTGGTCCTCCTAATTGTCAATCATTCTGTTGATATATTTACGTAAGGCTATCCGACATGCTTTTTTTGTTAGCTATCTTTTTCTGCACATGCGCACTTTCACCTGTATATCTGTGGTGAGCTGCGGTTTCAGACAGTCATTGAAGCTCACCTTTCTCACTGCGGTTCTTGGAAAATGGCTGAGGGTCGTTATAGAAAAGGTGTCTATGAATAGTATGAGAAGAAAAAAAAAGGCCTCAGAAGAGGCAGATATATCCCAGAATGCTTTGTGCCGAGAGCTTTTCCTTTTAAAATGATGGCGACAGATTAACCATATGGATCGCACCCTGTGCAAATGATGATTTTGAATTGAAAAAGCTTCCTGGATGGGAAGCGAAACGTCTTCAAACTTGGAAACAAAGTCCAGTGGATTGTTTTTAATTTTCTTTTTTTGGAATGTCTAACATGATGTTTCTGCTTTGTATGGATCCAGGGGTAAAGAGCCACGGCTGCGACAAATGTGGCAAATCATTCGCCAGGAAGGACATGCTGAAGGAACACCTCAGGGTTCACGACGACAACCGGGACTACCTGTGTGCCGAGTGTGGCAAAGGTTTGCTCCTTCCTGCTGCTCCACGCTAAGCTAACGATCCCTTCAGACTGTTTTAATCATGTCTGTTGATAGGAATGAAAACCAAACACGCTCTGAGGCACCACATGAAGCTGCACAAAGGCATCAAAGAGTACGAGTGTAAAGAATGTAACCGCAAGTTTGCCCAAAAGGTCAACATGCTGAAACACTACAAGAGACACACAGGTGGGCGGGGCTGTTTAAAGCTTTATTTACCATCAAATCTGGATAAAAAAAAAACTAATGAAGATAGGAAGGATGAGGATTCATCCCTGCGTTCATCTTTAAACTGCTTTGTTTGCAGGTGTTAAGGACTTCATGTGTGAATTATGTGGAAAGACGTTCAGTGAGAGGACGACCTTAGAGACACACAAGCTTATCCACACAGGTGAGGCAGGAACAGGTTTTATTCTCAGGATTTAAAGCTAAACTGGGGTTTTATTTCAAATTTTAGGCAACTAAAAACAACAAAGAAAGCAGATATTATTTGCATGACATTAACTAAATGTTTGCCTTGATGTTCTAACCATGTGGCAAATCAGCAATCTGCTTACAGAAGTCCCCAACCATACCGATTCACATTTTGACTGATACAAATATAATATTCAGTAGATCGCAACACCTTTAATGTTTTAATGCCCTTTTATTAAAAAACAAAACATGTTTTAACAGCATATGAGATGATGCTCTATATAAAAACAGTTTAGTTTGAAATAGGCTGATTTTCATCGGCTTAAATCAATCGACTGATCACTAATGAACTAAAGGTTCATCATCATCATGGCTCAGCATCTTGTGGACCATCCCCCTGATGTGGTCACATGACCCTCATTCATCTCAGGGAGGGGCGAAACCAGATTGCCACATGCTTGGTCCAACTAAACCGGTTCTGGTCCGATCCTCAGTAGAAAAACCGATGATCTAAAGTTTTTTTTTTTCTTATGAATTCCCTGCAGCCTGCCAGGCTCTTAAGGATTTCCCACTGCCGTTCTTAGATGCTGGAATTACATCTAAGCATTTTTTAGTTAAAAACATCCAATTACCAGAATATAAGATCAATAAAAATAATTAAATAATTGAACTTTGTTGATCTCACATTGGAGAAATCTACCTCTACAGGTCCTTCTCAAAATATGAGCATATTGTGATAAAGGAATTTTGGGTTTTCATGAGCTGTATCCCAAAATCCTCCGTATTAAGACAATAAAAGACATGAAATATTTCAACTAGTGTGCAATGAATCTAAAATATATGAATATTCAAGTTTTATAATTACATTATGGAAAATAATGAACTTTATCACATTATTTTGAGAAGGACCTGTACATTTAACCCATCCCTTGGAGAGCAATGGGCTGCCATTGTGGGGCGCCCAGGGAGCAGTGTGAGACCCAGAGAGGCAGTCTTTGGGAGTGGGGCTCAAACTCAGAACCTCAGGATTCCAAGCTCTATGCCCTCACCATTAGGTCACCACTCCCTCAATGATATTAAATCAGCAAGTTTTGATATTTGAAGTTTATGTTGCTATTTCTAAACTGTTTAACCACCGTCCAATGATTAAATATTTTAGTGCTGCAATCAGAGCAATTTAAATTGTATTTTTTATTAATCAGATCAGAATATGTCTATAGATGTTTATATTTTCAAACCCAAACCTGTTGGAGGCTTTTCCTCGTCCGTTTTCCTTGCTAGTTAAACTATCCTAGATTTGGTCTGCAGACAATCCAGACCAAACATAGCGGCGTTGATGCTAAAATGCAAACCTCGTAGGTGTGTCAGGCAGGAACTAACCGTAGCTGGATTCTGCTTTAGCTGGATTTCCCAGAGGTTCCTAAAAAGAATCTAAAAGACTTCGAGAAGCCAGATAAAGTTAGATGAACCAGTAATTGATGCTGCACTGGAAAAAAATCGAAATCTAGATTAGTAATTTTTTCTTTTCTTAAAATAAGTCAATTTTTCTTGAATTGAGGAGGTAAGTGAGACACTTTGCCAATTGAACCAGGCAATTTAAATTTAAAATAAGAAAATAGTCTTATTTCAAGTGAGTATTATCTATCTTATTTTAAGAGTAAAAATCTTCATTCCATTGGCAAAAAATCTTATTTACCTGCTCACATTAATGGTAGATACACCTAATTTAAGACATTTTGACTTATTTCTAGATCGTTTTTACATTGTGGATAAAGCTCCGAAAAAACCTCTTTTTAGCTTGATGCTACCTTTAGCTCTTTTTAAAAATCATAATCCTGATAAGAAATAATATAAAATGTTGATTTTATTAAATTACGCTGAATATTTTTCACTAGATAAAAAAAAAAAGGTTCTGAAATGATCTTTGATGCTGGTAACTATTTAATATCCAACAGAAAATAAAGGAGGCACATGATTATTTGCTTGTATCCATAGAGACGCCATCCTTTATCGGATTCCTTTATAAAATGTGCCGATTTGTTTATAGAACTGTGGTGGGAGTTAAAGAACATGGGAACAAAGGTTCCCAATCAATCCAACTGATTTTCATCGATTGCTTATTGATCGGTGCCTCTTCAAACCAGCTTAAAATGTCCGCTCCTTTAGTTTGTTTCATGTCTTGTTTTTTTCCCTCGCTTCAGTGGGAAAGACGTGGAAATGTGAACACTGCGATAAGAAATACCTGACAGAATACATGCTGCAGAAGCACATTCACCTGACCCACGAGAAGGTGGAGGCCCAGTCCTGTCAGTTGTGTGGGACCAAGGTGTCGACCCGCGCTTCCATGAACCGCCACCTGCGTCGCAAACACCCAGAGGTAAGCCTGGACCGCCGCGGCTCTCTAGCCTCTAACCACTCGCTGACGTTGTCCTTCTGCCCTTCGCCTTGCAGCTGGCTCCTGTGAGATTCGACGAGTTTGATGATCTTCAGGAAAACTCAGGCGTCAGTAATTCATCCATCAGTATCGAACAGGTTTGTACACCTTTTAGTTCGCAGTCAGAACCCTGCCAAAAGAGTCCTCAAGTAATAGATGCTGTTAGGAGCGGTTTGATTTAAAACACACACATAAACTGATCCCCACCTTCATTTTTAATGATTAAAGTCGTAGGGAAATGGCCGTTCCAAACGTTGCTGTTCCGAATTCTCCCGAGTGGTGCCCGTCTTTACACGAGTGAATAAAGTGAATGTGATTGGTCGTTTATCAAGTGGGTGGGATTGTTGTGGCGGAAGGTCAGCAAGCAAGTTTGATTGTGACCAGTTTGTCGGAAGCATCTTCGACAAACTTCGTCGGAAGCGTTCCTTGACAGTGTCATTTCTAAGTCACCAATTTAGTGCTACTTGGTCCCAATGGAATTTCCCATTGGGAACCTACTAGCACTAGGTTGCTAACTGGTTAGCAAGATGCTTCAGAGAGAATGGCCACAACCAAACTTCCTTCCGCCGCAACAATCCCGCCCCCTTGATAAACAACCAATCACATTCACTTTATTCACTTGTGTACAGTTGTGCACCACTCGGGAGAATTCAGAAATGCAAAGAAACGGACGCTTTCCTTCGACTTTAAGGCTGATTTATTAATCAGAAACCAGGTTGTCTTCGCGTGTGTCGCAGTGAATGCAAATATGCCCCCGCCCCTTCCGCAGAGACTCTGGTGCACCTCTTGCAAATTGTAGGTGACCGCAGTCAGGAGGCCTCTGATTGGTCAAATCTACATCCGTTCTACACTATGTGTATTTCCTGTTTGGTACCTTTCCAACTTGTTTTGTTTGTATGACCACCATTGTGGAAAACGACTTGTGAAGATGGACCAGCTAGAAGATCAAGGTGCGTGAGAACGCTGGGACCTTTTTCCACCTGGATCCCCGCTCTTTTTCACGGTCATGTCCCTCCGTTGTCGGACAAACTTGCCTCCACTTCCTCACGGCCCCGGCCGTATCTAGATCCACAGCTGGTCTCTGATTGTCCCTCTTGCGTTGTGGCGTGGAATAACATAGCGCAGACCGCGGTTCAATATTGGGCATAAATAAAAAATATCTGCGACAAGCTCACTGCGACACACTGCTGCGGGAGGATAACCAGCCCTTTACAGTTTACTGATCTCAGTTCTTCCCACCACCAGTTACAACTGAAAAAGCCTCTTGGCAAAATGTCTTCTAGAAAACTCCACGTCCAGTTGCCTAAACTTAACTTTTCAAGCCCAAAATGTCAACAAGTAAACTGTCTGTAATTGGCGGCTTTTCGAGCCTTTTGAGTTTCTACTTTTCTCCTCCCGTTTAGGGCCACTTTGGTTTCCCATATTTAGTGACTTTTCTGACCCCTCTGACAACTTGTTATTCTTAAAAAAGAGGCGTTCCTCTAAACACACTATAAATGTCATAAATCTAGTGTTGTACAAGGTTGTTGCAGTGAAGTAGAATGAATTGTGGGCGCGGTCAGACGGGTGATCAATAAAACATGTTTCTTTCCTGTGATAAACTGAGAACAGACTTTTAAACGGTCTTTAATTCATGATGTGCTTCTGCGCAGGAACATTAAGTAATTATTAAATCATGAAATAATCATTTTCACCTCTTAAAATAAAACCTATATTTAACTGAGGCCCATATAATTGTGTGTGTGTGTGTGTGTGTGTGCCTGTCTAGCCCTCATAGTGAGGACCATTTTTCCAATTTCACCATCAAATTGAGGACCAGTTGTTGTCATTTTGCTGGTCCTCACATGCTATTTTGCTAATGGTTAGATTTAGGGCTAAGGTGTCAATTGGTTAGGGTTAGGGGTGTGTATTGGTAATGGTTAGGTTTAGGGTTAGTTTTAGGGTTTAGGGCATAGAAAGGGTTGAAAATGACTGTAAATTAATGGAAGTCATTGGTAGTGAACAGATGGTCCTCACTACGGCAGAACGAGTAGGCGTGTGTGTACCTTGCATGCATGCATGTATGTATTAAATAAATTCTTTATTTATTTCCACATTTAATAAATGAATGACAGATTTAAATAATTATTGTATAAATCATTTATTTATGGTATTGTTGCACTCATCACCCTCTGTAGTTTATTTGTGTGTTTTAAATAAAATGTGGCCTTTTGGTAGAGTTCTGATGGTGTGTAATATCCTAACTGTTTTGATGGATGTGTGCGGCTTAAAGGCCCAGACTTAAAGCGTAACCTGTCCCTGTGATGCTAGCCCACCCTGTCCTTAGAGAAGGACAGCGTGCCCCCAGAGAAGCCGGTCCGACCCCCCCGGCACTCCAAGAAGAGGCAGAGAGTCGCGGTGGAGCCGGAGCTCTCGGAGTCCGACGACTACGCCGACTTCACAGAGCAGAGGCACACGGATATGTCTGAGTTTAACACCGTCATCGTTGGTGATGAAACGGAAACCAGCTCTGCTGTGCAGAGCATCCAGCAGGTAGGCCAGCTAATCCCTTCATTTCAACTGAAGGAGGAGCTCACTGCTCATTACTGCTGGTTGTTTCCATCCCGGAGAATAAAAACCTGGAGGATTGCTCCTCATTGGGATGTCGCCCCAAAATTATTAGTAAAATCCAGAATGTTTAACTGATTAAAAAAGGAATTCCAAACTGGTAACACTAGAGGTCAAATATTTGATTTCTATTAGAAATGCCTTGATTTTCCCGTGTGCCACCAGGGGGCGCATTATTTAAAAAATGGCTGGTCTAATTCCTGTCTCCAGTTTGGGATGGGGGGGTCCATTATGCAACTAAACAGATGTTTTTTTCCAGCGGAGCTGATGAATTAGACGCCAGCTCACCTGGACACTGGCGACGCTGCTCTAATGAATCTGACCTTTTGTTTCAGGTGGTGGTCCTGGCAGACCCCAACGCCCCATCAGTCCCCTCCGCCAGCAGCTCGGTCGGACTGACCAACATCACCGTCACCCCGATCACCAGCCAAGCCCAGTTCACCAGCCTGCAGCCGGTGGCCGTGGGCCACCTGACCGCCACCGACCGGCCGCTCACCTTGGACAACTCCATCCTCACCGTCACCTTTGACACGGTCAGCGGCTCCGCCATGCTCCACAACCGACCCACCGAACTCATCCCAGAGACGGTGGGCCCCAGCGGCGCCCCGGCGCCGCAGTCTGTGGCACATTTCATCAACCTCACCACTCTGGTTAACCCCATCAGCCACCAGCTGGAGGCGCCCGCTCTGGCCTGGAGGCAGGTACCGGTGCCTGAAGGCAGCCAGGTGACCCACATGGCTGGGGAGACTGAGGGGGGCCATAACCAGGGTCCAGATCCGGGCCAGAGCAGCCAGGCTGCCTCCCAGCAGCAGCAGAGCGGCTCGGCTCAGCAGATGTTCGGCTACTGAGCCCATCCTGGAGGTGCAGGTCGCCTCACACCCAAACTCTGCCGCACAGAAGATGGAAATCCTTCTTTTCTGTAACACACCGCTGTCCGTCAGATGCCTCTCCTGTCCGGTGGAAGTTCAAGCTTTTGGTTTCCTTTTATTCTGACAGAACCATGCAGCTGCTAATCAAGCATGCGGGAAACGGTACGACGGGCCAGAATCCCTGACAGTGGAAACCAAAGCTAACCCCTCAGACATCCAGCCTTATAAAGCATGCCTGTGGTTCACGTAAATGTATGAAAAGTGTTTCAAAAGAAAGAACTTTATGTTAAAGTTTACTGATGAAATCTTATTTTTCTGATCCATGTTAACTGTGGTCTTTGTTTATCTAAAAGAAAGTTGTTTTTCTGTTTTTCATTTCTGTTTCTCTGGAGCTGTCAAATTCACGAACTCTGCACCAAAGCTTTTCACTTTGCACCGATTTCACAGGAAATTTACATTTTATTTTAAATAAATAGGTGAAAACTAGGATTATATGGGACAGGTGTCCTCCCATTTGGCATAGAGAGGACATTATGTTCAACTTGATGACTGAAAACCAGAATCCTCATCACTCAATTCAGTTCATTTACATATCGCCGATGCACAGATCATCTTAGGGCACTTTACAGAGACCGTTCAATCACTTCGAACAATAAAAAGTTTTCTGTCTAAAGAAAACCAGCTGATTGTATCGACTCATTGACTGACAACAGTGTTTTCGTCAACGATGATGAAATTATTTCGTTGACGCCCCATTTTTTTCATGACGATAACGAAAACTGACAAGCTAAACGTCAATCTTTGATGAAAAAAACATGTTGAGTCATAGGTGTGAGATTTCGTTGTTGGGACATAACTATATAGAAATGTTAGGGGGTATTCTGTCACATTTAAAAAGCATCCTTGTGCTGTAATCTGCTTAGCAGTATCAGCAGAGCTGCGGCGTCCTGTTTGGTCACGCCGCCCGCCTGGCGTTCAGCGGTGCACATTCTGCGTGACCACAGATGGATCATGGCAGCAGCGGCTGGGATGAAATTAATCTGGAATGGTGCGGTGCTGTGCACTGAACTCTGACAAACCGTTTGTGCTTGTGCAAAAAATGCATCTTTGCACACGCTAGCTCAGAGTCCACTCTGATGGTTCGTTCTGAGCAGTATGGCTCTTCCTGCCCTCGCTACCTGATAAACTATATGTGGCTGATCATCCTCTGCTAAGCATAAAAAAACCCAGCTCACAAGATGTGATGCTAAACATTTCTACCAAAAGGAATTCCTAAATTATATACAAAGCAAATATTTCATTGCTTTCTGTTTATTTTTGGATAAAGACCCAAATGAAAAGGTACATCGTTAAATATTGTTTTTATTTCTATCTATTTTGATATTTCAACATTTTAGTTCACATATTGTTGACATGTAGGTCTGGATTGCCATGGCGTTACACGGCAATTATGTAGGTTCTCTTTTTTTATATCCAAACCCTGTGAATTTAAATCTACTTTGACCCCTTAGCAGCTGTAACCGAGGGGTACATTTTTCAAAATAAAACCAAATTGCCAAAGTAGATAGAAGAATGTTTTTTTACTTTGCTGTTTTGGAGCAATGAAGATTTTATTGATCTGTGTGTAATGCATAATTTATTGTAGATCAGGAAGTATTTGCTTTACGATGGAAAACTTATATGTCTAAAACCATTATTTCATTGTACATTTTGTTAGCTTGTCTGTCTGATATATTAACCAATATGATGTGTTGAACTAGATCTGTAGTTATGGTAGAATCAGAGTTATAAACAGCTATGTTAGTATCTAGGCAAGAGCTGTGAGTCTGCTAAAGAATCTGGTTGTTAATCGAAAATTGTAAAGTTAACTTTTTTATGAAGTGCAACATAAAACTGACTAAAACCGACTAAAACTATAACGTATAGTAATGTCTAAAATATGACTAAAACTGACTAAAAGAGTGTTGGTCTTCTGGACTTAGGAGCTGAAGACGAAGTTAGGATCCTAACTTCAGGATCTAAGATGGCGGTCAAAAACAACACTGCCTCACACCAAGCATGCTTGCAGAAACAGTGGAGGGAAAAAACTCCCTTTTAACGGTAAGAATCCTCCAGGAGAATCATGCTCTGCATGATTATTAATCTGCTGAGAATGACTGGGGTCGAAGGAGACAGACAGACAGACAGACAGACATGAAATCGAAGAGAGAAGCACTGATGTATAAATATCTTTTATGTTACAAAAAGTAATGGTAAAGAATAATTAAGCAGATGAGATCTGAGCCAGTTTTCATGAAAAAGAGCACATCTAGTTAGTCACAGTGAAAGCTGAGCCCATAGCTATGTCCAGGAGAGAATCTCTCATATAGAAGTGTTAATAGCAGCATATTAGTTCATATATTTCTCTCCCGGATGGAGTCACAACCAAACAAGAATAGACTAGATGAAGTTACTATGAAGAGAAAAAGCAGAGAGAGTGTAAAGGTGTGGGTTTAACTACAAAATACTACAGAATGCAAGAAGAGAGATAGAATGATGAAATAGGAGTCCCTATGTCCTCCAGCAGTCTACGCCTATAGCAGCATAGCTATAGAGATAGCTCAGGATAACCTGAGCCACCCTAACTATAAGCTTTATCAAAAAGGAAAGTTTTAAGCCTAGCCTTAAAAGTAGACAGGGTGTCTGCCTCACGGACTAAAACTGGTAGTTGGTTCCACAGGAGAGGAGCCTGGTAACTAAAAGATCTGCCTCCCATTCTATTTGTAGAGATTCTTGGAACCACTAGTAAACCTGCAGATTGAGAGCGAAGTGCTCTGTTAGAAACTACTGCTGGAAAGTAGATGTTTGTTTTATTTTCAGAAATTGCAGCTCATTTATTTGAGGTAGATTGAGTTTTGTATTAATTAATTTTTTTTTCTTTTAATTGGGGGGACACTCGCACAGATTGCATGAAAATCTGCCTGCAGTTGAAAAAAAAGAAATAGGTTCATCTTTTAGTAATCCAAAATTTTTACCTTTTTTATTTTACTGTAAATGGGACGACATTTATTAATTAACCTTTACTTTAACACCGACCTTTTGCACCAACATACACTATTAGATTATTTATTAAAAATTGGCTAAATGCAAAAAGCATTTTTAACAAAGGACTCACCCAAATTCTGTCCTTATTGTTTTAATATTTTTCCAATGTACCCCAGAACAATTGGCAAGCTCTATAAATCTTCCATATCCTACAGAAATATTCCATGCTCATATTTTGAAGAGCAGATGATAGATAGATAGATAGATAGATAGATAGATAGATAGATAGATAGATAGATAGATAGATAGATAGATAGATAGATAGATAGATAGATCTATTATATGGATTAAAAGTCATTTTAATAAAACTATGTTCTAAATGAATAAGAATGAATAACTGTTAAGTAATTCTATGTTCTTTATGGTGGTAGTCAGTCTTTTGCATGGTTATTTTTGGGAATAAAGGCTGAAAAGTTTGATCGATCGATAATAAACGCACACAATGTATTCTAAATGTCCGCTAGATGGCGGCAAACCCCAGCCTGAAATGCACACAAGGTTCAAACTAACTTTGAAAGGTGCATCTACACATTTGAATAAAGTTTAAAATCACAGAAGACATGAATTCAGTCCAGCTCAGACATTAAGAGGATCTCCCAGTGCCTTATTGGACATGGTTTAAAAGAATAAAAACTATGAGCTATTCATAAACAAGGCCTATTTAATATATTTATTTTTTTTGTATCCTAAAGTGACTGTATAAGTTTATCACAATAGAATAGAAGAATAGAATTGCATTTTATTTTCATTGAATTAAACTGTCACAAGTAAAGAGCAACGGAATTCACTCCCTCCATTTTAACCCATCCCCATGGGGAGTAGTGGGCTGCCATTGTGGGGCGCCTGGGGAGCAGTGTGGGGTTAAAGGTCTTGCTCAGGGACCCAGAGTGGCAGTCTGTGGGAGTGGGGCTCAGACCCAGAACCTAAGGAACCTAAGCACAGGTCCACAACAGGTGCCACCTGTTATATTAGTACTTGCAAATATCAATTTTATGCAGAATGATTATTGATACAAGTAGGTAAGTAATGACAATGGAAAAGATGTTCGCTGCAGAACTCAAACCTGAAAGAAACGTATCCACTATACCTTTTATCTAGAAAGCACAGATGTTTAAATATATGTGTCTATTTGACCACCCCTCAGTGTACATTGGTTATTGCCTGGCCACCCTTATAAAAATATTCTGGCTCTGCCTCTACAGACAGTATAACTGCTGGTGTCCCTTCCATATTCCAGACCATCCACGCATTATTTAAGTGAAAAAGTCGAGTCATCATCATGGTAAAGAAAGGTGTGGTGACTGAAACACGTAAAAGAAACCGGTTTATGTAAAAGTTAAACAAAAGTTCTTTTCTAACGTTAAATCAAGGGCTGAGAAGCTGTCTGCCACAATCACATTTCCATTCCCTGCAACCATCAGCCCTGAAAGGTCCTGGTTGCACTTTGAACTGCTGCCAGTAAAGGCCTGCAGAGCTTTAGGCTCCAGGGAAGAAAATGGAGGACAAAAAAAATTACACAATCACATTCATGCAGGATGAAGCCGTGCAATCAGCCCCAACAGCTATTGATGACATTTTTATTCCTCTGATCTGGTCCTTCCAGTTTGCTCATTATGTATGGAGGTGACATCATGTCACTGGGGGCAGGAGGTTTAAAACAAGCTGCAAATATTCAAGCATGTAGAGACTTTTCAAGTGGTTTGGTGGCCCCTGTGAGCAGGGACAGGTGTTAATGGGGCTCTTTCTCAGATAAAGAAACATATTCTACACTTTGTGTTAAATCCTGCTAAGATGCATGGCAGGAAAAAAATCCACCAGGATTTAGCTGTGTAGAGAAACCTATAAAACCATTTTAAAATCTTATCCCATTAAAACCACAGACTTTACTGTCTTTAAAAGATCTTCTTTTAACCTCTCCAAATTCTGCTGGAATAACACCAGCTTGTCTTAAGGGGTTTGTCTTCCCCAGCTTTGCTCATCTAGAGTAGGGGTTCCCAAAGAGGGGGTCGGGAGCCCTGGTGGGGTCACAAGACACAAAGCATGGGGGTTACAAGATGGTTTTACAATCTCTGATGTGACCATGAGGTATATGGAGGAAGTAAAGTGCTGGTTATCCTCCAGCAGCAGTGTGTCGCAGTGAGCTTGTTGCCTATATGTTTAATTAATGCCCAATATTGAACCGTGGTCTGCGCTATGCTATTCCACGCCACAACGCAAGATGGACAATCAGGAACTAGCTGTGGGTCTAGATACGAGGCGGTGAGGAAGTGGGGGCAAGTTTGTGCGACAATGGAGGGACATGAGGGCGAAAAAGAGCGGGGATCCAGGTGGAAAAAGGGTCCCAGCATGCACCTCGCTCTTCTAGCTGGTCCATCTTCAGGAGTCGTTTTCCACAATGGCGGTCATACAAACAAAACAAGCCAGTAAGATCCCAAACAGGAAATATGTATAGTGTAGAGAGATATAGATTTGACCAATCAGAGGCCTCCTGACTGTGGTCACCTACAATTTTGGAGAGGAGCAGCAGAGGGTCTGCGGAAGGGGGCGGGGCATATCTACGTTAACTGCGACACACACTCGGACGACCTGGTTTCTGAGTATAAATCAGCTTTTAGACAAAAATATGACCAATATAAATACATTAACCATGAATAACATCTATTTATATGTCTAATAATCATATAAATATTAAGTGTAACACTGAATTATCAAACTAAGGGTGAGACCTGTTTTTCGGTTCAATTCGCACATTTTCTAAGCCATAACAAGGCTGTTGTTTGGTTACTCTATTAGTCTAGAACTCAAAAGCTACTCTGGACATTTTGAATTAAAAACATCTTCAAACTTAGTAAACAAAGTTCAGTGGATTGTTGTTGTTTTTTTACTTTTTAAACATTTTTTAAATGACTATGACCTGATTGGTAACATTGTAACATTGTAAGCTGAACAATTAAATGTCCTATTAAATGATTAAAAATGCATTTAAGACAATTAATTAGATATTTAAAAGACATTTTATTAAAACTATTAATTTACTTGAATAAGAATGAATAAATGTTAAGTAATTCTATGTTCTTTATGGTGGTAGTCAGTCTTTTGCATGTTTATTTTTGGGGATAAAGCCTGAAAAGTTTGTACCTTCTTATTTGTGACAAAGTTAAGCTCATTCAGACTAGAAGGAGAGCATTTTTATTAATTTATTTTTCAAAATCTTACCTCAATTCCTAATTAGATCTGGTTTTGACTTGGCTATGTAACGCTTATGGGTATCATTTAATCTATCTGAGTTAAATATAAATGTTCTAACAGACTTAAAATTTGGGTTCTGTTAAAATCATAAATCAATTTCTAATAATTATATAAAATTGAGTCACCAATTTAAAAAATAAATGCATTTTCACTGTCTTTACAGCCTCCATTAACCACTAATATCCTATCAATTTGCAGATGAATGTTAATATAATACGAGTATTTTACATAACAATACTGTCGTGTAATTCATGGAACAGCTAAAATAAGGTTTTTAATGCCAGCAATCCAATTTGAGATTTAGATCAAATTAAATCTGAATCCTCAGAATCAGATCGATTAATGCAGCCCTAATTCATCTAAGAGCTTCTCTGTGGCTACAAATGAAAAAGGTAGGCTAATATTTTAGAAAATAAACGATATGAAGTTGCTTAAAATCACAAAGTTTATTCCTTTGTACATTTCAGGGTTTTTATTTTTTTTGTCAGTCAGAAGCTTTGTGATCGATCGATTGATTGATTGATTGATTGATTGATTGATTGATTGATTGATTGATTGATTGATTGATTGATCGATCAGTGGGTAGCACTGCTGCCTTACAGCAAGAAGGTTCCGGGTTTTATTCCTGGCTCGGCTCTTTCTGCATGGAGTTTGCATGTTCTCCCTGAGCATGAGTGGGTTCTCTCCGGGTACTCCAGCTTCCTCCCACAGTCCAAAAGCATGACTGTTAGGTTAATTGGCCTCACTAAATTCTCCTTAGGTGTGAGTGTGTGTGTGAGTGGTTGTGTGTCTCTGTGTTGCCCTGCGATGGACTGATGGACTGGCGACCTGTCCAGGGTGGACCCCGCCTCTCGCCCGTAGACAGCTGGAGATAGGCACCAGCCCCCCTCACGATCCCACTTGGGATAAGCGTGTCAGAAAACGGATGGATGAAAGACTGATTGATTCACTTTATTGATCTCACAGTGAGGAAATTTACACGTTACAAAATAATGCAAAAGTTTTTGGCATTTACATAATCATATTTAGTTACTTTAACACAATTGTTTCATGTTAGCAGGGTAGGACATAAAACAATTGTTTTAAAATAACTAAATATGTTTAAGTAAATGCCAAAAGAGGTTGCATTATATTTTTCAGTGAATAGTCAAAGGATGTGCCAAAGGAAGAAAAAGGTGCATGGGGGGTAAAAACAGTAGATACAGTGCGTCCACATATGACACCTCTTTTGTTTTGCATAATGAGGGGATTACATCATTTGTTCGTGGTTTTAAGTTACAAGTTTAGACAGCAAAATGACTCTGCCTCACACTGACTATATAGCTGAGGGGGTTCCAGGTGCATGCTGGGAATAAAATGGTTCCTACCACGACCCGGTTCTTTGTTTTTTAGGCCCTGGATGATCAAAGGTCCTTCTCTGATATCTGAGAGAACCAAAAACCTCCAGGCTTCCCTGAAAACAATCAACAGCTGGACTCAGCTGTCATTGCTCCAACTTCTCCATGTTTCAACCCCAGGATGTGACGTCGGGGCCATTAGCCCCGCCTCATCCATACACCTGTGGATGGGGGGGGGAGCTTACCGAGGCAGTAGAAGGAGGAAAAACACGGAAGAGCTCACAGGGTGTTCAGGTCTGCGTCTTTCCCCTCAGAGAAGAAGGATTACAGGAATATTGTCCCCCATCTGTCTCCACATGGACATGGATGTCCAGGAGTCCCCTCATGGGGACATGGGACTGTTAAAGACCTTTGACTCCTCTGAGTTCGGCTGCTGGGAGAAGATCGGCTCAGGTGGATTTGGACAGGTTTACAAAGTGCGGCATGTGAAGTGGAAAACATGGCTGGCCATCAAATGTCCTCCCTGCCTTCACCTGGATGAAAAGTAAGTATTAAAAACCACATTTAGGGTTTGGATCAAAGGAGGGGAACCGCTCCTGCTCCTCATCTCTAGACCTGATCCAGTCTGATCTCTGCTTTACGCGCAGAGGAGCAGGAGGAGAAGCTCCTGCTCAGTGAAAGCGGCTCCTCCAGCTGGAAGGTTTCCAGATGTTCCAGATGTTATCAGGCTCTGGGGCCCCGGGGAGCCGCCCATTTAAATACACGCGTGGGAGGAACGCGGGGGTCTTCTTTCCACTGACGCTCATGTAGGTTGCGCAAACATCTCCAGCATTTAGCGCGTCTCTGTCAAAATGTCATCATTGTTGCAAGGAAAGAAAACTTCTGTTCATTGGAAATTTGAGTGAAATTTTTTTAATCTAAAGGCTTTAAGTTTAGATTATAAAAAAAACAAAAGCTTTTTCTCTCTAGATTTCATTTTTTAAATACTTGTTTTTCCAGATTTATGTTTAATTAATTGAGCTTTATGGATTTCATTCTTTCAAAATTTTTAGTTTTTTTTTGTAAATATTTTTATCAATTTTTAAAGATAAATATTACCCAACAGAGACGAGAAATGTAGAGCCTGTGCTTATCCCCACTGCCTGCACTCTGGGTCCCTGAGCAAGACCCTTAACCTCACACTGCTCAATAGCACAATGGCAGCCCATTGCTCACCAAAGGGTTAAAATGTAGAGAGCTCATTTCTCCATTGTGAAATGGGGATTTACATTACATTTTACATGTTTCCTCAGTTGTCAGATTAATCTCTAGAACAGAGATTATTCACTGTATACACTGACACAGTGAATTCCCTTATCCTACCCACTTTAATAGGATTCTAGGCACATATGGCGACTGTTAAATTGGGTTTTCCAGATCCCATTCTGTTCACTGGGCAGACTTTCCTCTGGACGCTAGAAACAATAATTTGATTGGTCAAGAGTGAGGGATTGTGTAGGGCTTGACGTGAAAAGCATCTAATCTGTGAAATACATGAAAATGATGCATTTCGTCTGGGAAAAAAAAGAAATATGAAGAAAGTAACTGAAAATAACAAATTTTATAAATTTTAAAACAATGCGTTGACAAAAAAATTGAAACACAGTTGAAAAAATGAAATCAGAGAAAACAGTCGAATTACTCTCAAAACTTCTTCCAAAGTTTTATTTCTGGTTTGCCTTTTCTTATTTTTTTTTTTTTCATTTACAAAATATGTTCTTTGCTGCAACAATAATTGAACAAAAGTCCCTCCATATTGTTGCTGATCTTTCTCTGCACATGATAAAAAGGCAGTTGAGGCCTTTTAAATCTGAGTTTTTTTCCATCTGGAAGTGTTTGTCCACGCTGCTGTGAGCCAGGCTCCTGCTGGTTGTTGTGGAAAAGTTTTCCCATCACATGTCAGTGGAAGCTTCTGTCCTTTTAGTTACTTTGCACCAACAGATCCTGCAGCATGTTGTTTTTTTTCCTTTTTTAATATAGAAATATAATTTCTCAATTTTCTTTTTCTGGATAAGAATGGATAAGCATTTTCATTGTTTAAATATCTCATTCGTACGTATCTTTTGTTTGTTTCCTTCCTTCCTTTCGGATATATTTGCATGTTCCTCATCTAAATACTTACTTTAGGAATATGTTCCATAAATGTCCAGATCAGTTGCTTTTTTATGTTAATAGGAATTTTATGTTATTCAAAACATTATTGTTTACCTTGTGGTCCAGTTGGTAAACAATGTCTTAAAAATGGGGGAAAAGTAAATATTGTTCAGTTTATTATTATCATCAATTAAAAAAAATCAAAGTTTTCTTCTTTTTTTATTTGCACAAACGACAGACATTTTTTAACCTGCCAACTGATAACCTAAAATGACATCACATAGGTCAAATACATCAATATTCCAGTTGAGCCCATTAGACTGACAGTCGTCACTAAAACATCTCAAAGCTTGGCTTGTCGGCTCCCTTCAGGGTTTATGTATCATCTGCTCCCCCCCGCAGCCCCAGATGTTATCTCCTTCAACATCTGCCAAGTATAAACAGTTGTTGGTCGTGAGCGTTCAGGGAGCCTACATCCAGCAGCAGGTCCTGAAAGCCGCCTTTGTCTGGCTGCTCACTGTGTGGCACAGACGACATGAGAAGCCGTGGAACCGGTCTGTCCAGGAGACTCTGTGATTAAAAACAGAGGCTTTGTTTGGTCCGGAGGAGCTGCTGGGATTAGAGCATGAAGCAAACAAGTTCCTGCCCTGTTTTCTTTCTAAAGCTTGATTTTATTTTATTTGTTCTTGTTGCACTTACAGCCCAGTAAAGTGCTTCATCATCATCAACCAGAGATCTCATATGAGCCTCTGATTTCATTCCCTTCATGTCAGATAAGCGGCGTTCCTCTGATCGCAGCCATGACTGGGATTTACCCTCCCTTGATCGTCCTCATTAGGAGGCTAACGGCCTGCGCCTCAGAGATGTGAGCTGAGGTCACGCCTGACCTGCTCGGCTGTGTTTGAGGAATGGCAGCCGTCAGCGCGTTGAGAAAGCTGCTCTTTAAACCCCTCAGGACTGTTTGGATGCTGGAATGTTCTTAAGGTTTTAAAAAGGCGTCTGGTTAAGAAAGCGAAGCATAGAGGTTAGTAAGAATGAAGCCAGGCGTGCAGGAATTCAGGCTGGACTGAGAGGAATTCTAGATGTTGCAAATAAGCGAGTGAAGCATTACCTCAGAGTTAGCAGGTTAATTTTTAATAAGCAGGAACGTTGATTAAAAATAGTTGAACTTGGAATGAGGAAGTGTTGACGGTTTAAAAATAAGGTGGCTGCATACATTTCAGCTGCGGTTTGGTTGCATTTTCTCCATGAAGTCGACAGAGGAAACTTCCTGCCAACTTGGAGAACAATATGTTCTCCTTTTTGTTATGTACGGGATCCTGCAGGCAGGGATCGGCACACATGCATTAAAATGTATTACTAAATAAAATACCAAACACCCACTTTAAAAATAAATAAAATACTGTATTTTTGTATTTTCAAAGTACTACAAAATATTTCATTCTAAGTGCCTTTTTCTTCTATCCCTTTACTTGTACACTATCTGGAAAAACATCAAAGTAACCAAACAAGAAAAGTAACTTAATTTACTGATAATTGTACAGAGTAAAATATTACTGAAATTGTATTGGTAATGCCTCACATTACTGAATTACCTAACACTGATATTATGTAGGCTACATACAGTCATCAGTAATTATTTAGGTGCATTTCTAAGAAAAAGTAAATTAAAACAGCCAACAGTAGTATGAGCCAAAAGTAGCCTACTATAAGTGGCGGAGAAGGTCACCTGTGGTGCTGCAGCAGCACACTTATTCACAATGACATACAAAAGTCCAATGTAGGCTATAGGCTAATTAGATGAAACAAAAGGAAACTGTGTAACATAACAATAACGTGATTTTTTTTTAAAAGTTCATTGGTGAAATCAACGATGGTGAAACTAACACACAGAGTTAGTTAGCAACTAACATGGGTGGATGTGCAGGTGGCGCAGTGTTTAGCGCACACAACCCATTTACGGAGGCCTTAAGGGCAGATTAGACTTCTGCAACCGCACGCATCAAATGTCACTTGGTTCTGGTCGTGAACCAGTTCTGCTGGTATGCTTCTGCACCGTCGGTCTGGAATTTCTATGGACGCACAGCAGTTTCCCTCCAAAGCACAAGGGGGAGCCGTTTCGAGAACTTGCCAGAACTTAACCTATTTATCTCTCTGTCTCTTCCACCTTTGTAAACACTCCTTTGGATCCCGCTTAAGGACCTGGCTGATCTCCCTCCAGTTGTTGGCAGAGACCTTGGCATCTTTATATCATTTGTCTGCGGCATCGTATAAGCGGTTGTATTTCCAAACCCCCTCGATTAACCTTTCGTCATAGTTGTCCACTGTAGTTGTTCCTCGGTTTTTAAGTATGGCGCGCTCCGGCACACAGACAGCCGGAAAGGCATACCAAAGACCAATCACAGCTGCTTTTTGTCTGCGCGGGTTTCCGGCCGTCCAAAGTGTAGTCAGGGTTTTTTTGAGGTGCACGATGACGGAAGCAGAAGCTCTGCACGGGGGGCATGGGAGGGCACAGAGACAGATTTGATGGTTGCAGAGGCCATGTGTCAGGAGGATAAATTGGCCTTTAGTCCTCGACGTGGCCAACCTGTGTTGGAATCCGAACCTGTGGTCCTTTGCCGCATGTCTCTCTTCCTCTCTCCTACCCCCTTTCCTGTCAGCCTACTTTTGAAAAAAAAGAGCCACTAGTGCCGTAAAAACTCCAAAAAAAGAAGAAAGTTAAATAGCCTAGCATTACGAACACTGAATGTTACACTGAAGAGGAACATGTGAGTAATTCATGGTTAAAAATAAATGAGTTACTAAAATAAACACGTAAATTTGGTTGCTCACCTTGCTTTGACACAACTTCCTTGACTGGTCCAGACAAAGCACCAAGTAGAAAATACCTGACTCAATCTAATATGCACTACCGTGTGTTTTGTGTTGATCGTGCAATATGCGATAGCAAGGGTAAAAGAGTACCAAAATGCCCTAGTGGCCGAGAGTGGTATCACAGGGGCTTGACAGCGAAGGAGCCACAGACACTATTACATGCTTAATAGATAGCTAGATGTCATCCCAGACTGTGTCTCACAGAAAGTATTTTACAGTATTTTGAAAACACAAAAATACACAACACTGAAGTATTTTGAAACAAAATACGAATTTTGTATTTGAAATACGTATTTTAAATACTTGTATTAGAAATACTGGCCATCCCTGCACACAGGGTTCCGTGTTAGGCCCCCCTTTATTTAGCCTTTTTCTTTCTCCCTGACTTCATTTTGAATACCAATGTTGATTTGAAATGAGAATCGAGGCTCCACATATTTGGTCACTATAAAGCAGGTCATGGATTAGCAGACCGTGGTCCGGATCCAGACCCACCTGCTGGCTAATTTGGACCCAACCTGATTGAAAATATTTAGAAATTACGGCATGTTGTCCGTTAGCAGTGTCTAAATTCACTTGCATCGCTTCTCCTGTTAATATGGTAAAGCCCTCCAGAGCGTCGTGCACCAGGCTACTCGTGATCCAAATTATCCAATGAGCTGCTGTCAGTCTGGGTTGCTGCTGCTGCTACTTTTAGAGACAGCAGGCAAACCTGTGGCAAGCCGGGCGATGGGAAAGAAGGAGAAGATGATGAGAAAAAGAGAGCAGAGAAAGTGTGGACTGCTGGAAGAACTGTGGTGAACTGGTGAAAGAAAAGTGAAATGGTGCTCAAAGATGACCCTGCACATTTAGAGGATGTTTGGCTCAACCTGCTGCTGTGAAGCAGGATTCTCCACCATGAACAGAATCAAAAATAAATCTGGATCCAGGCTGAAAATGAGCTCCTTGATATGTGCTTTAGAATGGCTTTGTCTCCATTAAACCCAGGTTTAAAGCCTTGCAGGGCAGCATAAAGCCCACTGCCAACATTAAGACAGAAAAAAGAAAGAAAAATGGTCGGTTCAGGTGTTTTATTAAAAGAAGTGCCTAAGGAAATTGTCTTCGTACCAAACTGAGGATTGTTGTTCTCTACTTCAAAAGCAATTTAGATTTTAAAATGGAAAAATGTTCTATTTTTTTTATATTTTTTATATATAAATTCCATGTATAACATGGATGCATAAACGGCTCTTTTTATTTCAGTGTTAAATTCTGTTGAAAGTAACAGATTATAATTTTAAAAAGTCTCCGGACCTTTACTGGTTGATGATTTTCTTCATTCAGACCCCACTTATTTTTAATTTGTTACCCCTGCTATAAAGCATGCTTCGCTTGGGGTTTTGTCTTCTGTTATTTTAGCATTTCTACACACTTGAAATTCCTTTAAAACAATGCCTTCTCTTGTCTAATTCTATCTTTCTAATCTTCTGCACAATTTAATCAACTAATTTGGCCTCATTTTGTTAGATTGTTAGGTCCTACTTGTTTTTGGTTTTTTGCATCCTAATAATTTTGTTGGGTTTTTTTTGTTTTGTTTTTTGTTTTTTTACTGTTTTTGATGTGAAATTTGACTCAATTAAACTCTGTGATCTAAAAAACCACGGCTTTCTTTAACTTAGGGACCGCTCTGAGCTCCTGGAGGAGGCTAAGAAGATGGAGGTGGCCAAGTTTCGATACATCCTGCCGGTGTACGGGATCTGTGAGGACCCTCAGGGCCTGGTCATGGAGTACATGGAGACGGGCTCCCTGGAGAACCTGCTGGCCAATGAGCCGCTGCCCTGGGAGCTTCGCTTTCGCATCATCCACGAGACGGCTGTGGGCATGAACTTCCTCCATTGCATGAACCCGCCGCTCCTGCACCTGGATCTGAAGCCGGCTAACATCCTGCTGGACGCTCACTATCACGTCAAGGTGAGGAACACCATCGGGTTTAAAAATTGGACCCCGTTGATCTGTTTGAAGTTGGGGGGGGGGGGGGGGGGGGGGGGGGGGGCGGACAGGTGTCTTTTTCCAAGCAGTTCAGCCTTACAGGGTGTAAACTGGTGGGAACCATCATTTCTAGAGTTTAAAGCCTGGATGTAAACAGCTCAGCCGGGCCTGTCCCGACAGGATTAATTTGGCTTCCATTAACATCCCTCTCAGGCTGAGTGTGTGTGTGATGGGTTGAGCTCTTTCTGCACAAATATAAAGGGCCTCTCCTCTGCAGCAGGTTGGGACATGGCTACGTTGCCCTCATCATACCACGGAGAACACATACTAAAAACCTTAGCTGCCTGTCACACTCACTGGGAAAGTTAGTCATCGCTGCAGTGGCATTTCATGAGAAATCTAACGTCAGCCTTTTAATGAAAGCTGGATCCCATCTCCTGTTCCAGATATCCGATTTTGGCCTGGCTCGATGGAACGGCCTGTCGCAGACGGATGACATCAGCAGAGAGGGCTTCTGCGGCACCATCGCCTACCTGCCGCCTGAGAGGATTATAGAGAAGGACAGGGTGTCGGACACCAAGCACGACGTTTACAGGTGGGTTCACATGCTGCGCTGTTCTCATTGGAGGAGGGCGTTCCTGTTGGGATTTCTAATTCAACACCGTGCCTGATGTGATGCGGTGGATTCATTTGGTTTAAAACTAAACAATGATTCTAATTTATCAAGATTTAATTCTTTAATGAAGGTAATACAACAAAAAGAAAGCACACTATAAAAATCTATATCTAGGTAAGTCATTTTCTCTTCTTCTTAAATCTTAAATTCTTAAGTTCTTAAATTACTTATTTCTAGATCGTTTTTCCAGTGCAATTCTTAACTTTGTAGATGTGTTTCAACATTAAGAGAAATATGATTTGAAAAAAAATCATTAAAGTATAACGAGCGTAAATAAAGTGCAGAGTTTAAACTGCATTAAATGAACTGCTGTTCGGCTTTTTTCTCAGCCTTCGGTGGAAGCTGTGCAGCACGGCGGCAATTCTGCTTCCATATTGGCAGAAGAATAAAGCTTTTAAAGCAAATTATCAACACTTTATTTCACTGGAACCAAAATTTGTTGCATCCTTTGTTGTTCTACAATGGTTTTCCTTCCACTCAATTTTCCATCAACATTCTTACACTGGAAAATGATCTAGAAATAAGTAAAAATTTCTTAACCCCTTGAACCCTACGGACCCACCGGCGGGTCCAGCTGCTACATGACCTCGTAATTTTACCAAACCCCCAGTATTGATGTAAAAAACATATTTGGCACAGTTTGGTGACATTTATGGATAAATGTGCCAAAATGGCCTCTCCGCCTAAGAAATTTCTCACTAATACCATTCTAAAATAAATATGATTCATCTGATTGAGTCCATATTTTGTATATTTTTACACAACATTTAGATTTGAAAGTCTGTACTACTCTTTTGTGCTATAAATAATATTTTGGTAGTGTTTTGCAATGTTTATTTCAAAGAAAAGTTTGGCGAGGTTCAAAAAATGCAAAATATTTTGTATTTTGTCCCTAATATTTCAGGCAGGGTCAAAGCTACAATGGTGCTGACACCAGAAAACCATTCTATGACATCTTACCTTTACAGACGTACCAAAAGTTTCTTCTTAAATCTAATAGCTTTGAGGCTATAAGTTATTTACTTTTGTGTGTTTTTGTCAGGCAGAAATTTATTTATACCCCCTTAGGGTGTAAGAGGTTAAATTAAGTGTATTTACCCTCAATTTGAGTAGGTAAATGAGATTTGCCAATGGAATGGAATATTTTTACTCTTAGAATAAGATAATTAGATAATATGCACTTCAAATAAGACAATGCAATTGTGTTTTCTTATTGTAAGTGTAAATTGTCTTTTTCCATTGGCAAGATGTCTCTTTAACTCCTCAATCCAAGAACAAATGCACTTATTATCACTCGCCAACCACCTTCTTCAGCTGCTCAGAGGATCAGTGCTCTTTGTGTCAACTCATGGTTCATTACCCTCCTCTGCAGAGCTCAGTTCTTTTTTTTTATACATTTAGAGTATGATTACTATGTAGACTAAGATTTAACTTTATTTATCCCTTGGAAGTACTCCTTCTGGTTTCAGTAGCTTATATAGAGTGCAAAGAGTTAAAGTAAGATGCCATTAAAGTTAAAAATACAGCTGATATTATAAAAAGAGTATATAGTACAAAAAAGCATGTCCTGGAATGTGAATCCCTTAGATATCAATATGATCTGCAGAGTAGAGAGCTAAGATTAACACGATTCAGTCAAACAAAGATCTATATCTTTGAAGATGCATGATTTTATTGAGCAGCTGCTGTACTTTGTAACATAAAATATGATGCATAATAATCCCTGTTTTAACCTTCGGACAATCATTGAAGCTGCCGCCATGTGCCCTCTGATTTCTGCGGCAGAGCTTCAGATTTAAACTGCCTTACTGGCAGCGTGGTGGAGGGGGGGATTTTTTGGTTAATGTTTCTCAGAAAATGACACGTCTCGCTGTTGTTTTTGTCTCTCTTCCAGCTTCTCCATTGTGATCTGGGGCATTCTCACGCAGAAGAAACCCTACCAAGGTACGGCTCTGCAGCACAACACAAGTTTTGGTTTTATTTTAGTGGAAATCGTGCATCAAAAGAATGAAAGCTGCGGGTCGTTTTGATTAGCGTAGGTTCAACCTGAAGCAGATTTCTGGATCTCAGCTTTCCGTCTATTTTTAACTTTCCCATAAACATACAGGCAGCATTATTGAAGGTGTGTACCGCGCTGCTGGGAGCTTGTTTACTGTCTGGATTCCTTGGCAGGCAGGTGGAGTGGGCAACAGTGGAATCTTTTTTTTCTTTCATTTTTCCCAGGCGTATCATGTAGCCTCTATTTTAGACTGGTCTCTTACTAAGGCAGGGTTGGCACTGCAGATGATGACCCAGACAAAATGAAAAAATTGAGCCCGGCTTATTACCTGCCTGGCCTTCTTCTTCCCTCTTCGCCCAGAGAGTATTATCCTTACAATAGGCTCCGTAAGCCTCCGCCTGCTTGCTCTGAATCACCGTCTTTAGTGGATGGATCAGGGCAAGGCTCTTTAGTCTCCTGTGGGAAACTGGCCAATCCTATGTGGGCTTTAAGAAAGATGCAGGAATCAGTTGTTGGTTGACTAATCTGGGTTATAATGCAATAGCATGTTTTGCTTGTCATGGCGAATCCATGTATACACCAGGAGATAACCGAGCGCTGATGTTTACCCTCAGGAGAAAACAACATCCTGCAGTTAATGGTGAAAGTGGTCAAAGGGGTTCGTCCAGATCTGGGTTCTGTGCCACGAAATCGACCTTCGACCTGCGCTGGTTTCCTTAACCTCATGCAACGCTGCTGGACCACAAACCCTAAAGACAGACCCAGCTTCCAGGGTGAGTCTGGATTCTTCTCTCTGCACCAAATACATTTAGTCTTATATCTGTCAGACTCTATTTCTGCTGCTTGATGGCATTTGTTGTTCCTTTTGGTTTCTTGTATGTTAGGAACGGTTGATTTAATGCTCTGTTCTTTCAGAAATTACATCTGAAGCTGAGGAGCTTTGCTCCAAACCTCAAGAGGAGCCCAGGACCCCAAGATTATCGACATCATCAGAACCAGAGCCTTTGTCCCCTAAGCCAGTGGCTAATGATCAGGTAGGTGATGGCAGAACTGTGCCTACAGACCCTGAATCAAATCATCGTCTTCAGGATGTTATCGTCACTAAGTGGTTTAGGTTTCGGGGAGTGGCGGCCTAGTGGTTAGGGCATAGAGCTAGGAATCCAGAGGTTCTGAGTTTGAGCCCAAGACCCTTAACCCCCACACTGCTCTTTAAGGTCTAGTTTGACTTCTCTTTCTAAGTATTTGTGTAAAAGCGTAACAGTTGTAGCTGAATTTTTTTTTTTTAGTATACCGTATTTTTCAGACTAGAGTGCACCGCACTAAAAGCAGAACCCAAAAAGTATTTTTAAAACTGGAAGCGTACAGCTATAAGCCGCACTGGGCTATATGCTACTGATATCTACCAAACAGTCACACACCAAACCTGTAGGGGGAGCTTTATATGTATATCGGCCCAAAAACGCGCATGCTGCTTCATATTTGATGCTTGTACAAGTTTAGTTCTGACGAGCGGCTAATGCATCTTTGCTGCTCCAGCTGCGCGGTCAAAAAGTGGGTCTGATGCGCGTTGGGCGGAGCTACCCTGTCCTGTCTTTGCCTGTAACAATGGCAGCTATATTTGCTGTGATCAGTGGGTAAAAAGTAGTTTGAATGATTTTAAGTGAGAAAGTCCACCTGAAAACTTAATCTGTGAAGTCAGTTCATCAAGATTACCCTCCTTTCTTCAGACCCCCGTACACACGGAGTGCTCTACCACTGGGAATCCCTTTCAGCAGCAGCCTCTGGCCCGGTCGCCTCTTTGAGGTTTGCCGCTACTGTTGGCGGCGGCTGGAAGTAGATGTTAGTGTTTTTTAGGTTTGTAATCCAAACTACAGGCACCAGAATAATAAAAGTGAACATATTTTGCTGGCGGGTTTTCACATATTAAGTTAATAAACTGTTTCAGAGGACTGATCATAGCGCTCTGCATGAGCAGAGCTGTGTCTCTCTCCCTGCCAGCTCCCAGATCAGCTTCTCTGTTTGGTTGATGTGGCGCGTTGAGCAGCAGAAGTTCAATTTTTCCAACTCCAGCAGCTGCTGCTATTCTGGTGCCTGGAGTTTGAACAATATACATGAAAAACGCCTTCCAGACGCTGCGAACAATAGTGGAAAACAGCAAAGAGGCACCCGGGCCAGAGGCTGCTGTTGAATGGGGTTCCTAGTGACTGAGTGGTCTGAGCGGCTCTGACAGTTAAATAATATTTGAAGGCAGGATGGTAATCTGGATGAACGGACTGCACAGATGAAATTCTCAGGTGGACTTTCTCACTGATCTTTCTCACTGATTTCTCACTGATGATACCCACTGATCACAGCAATTATAGCTGCCATTGTTACAGACAAAGAAAGGATAGAGTAGCTCCGCCAACGCACATTAGAACCACTTTTTTTACCATGCAGCTAGTGCAGCAAAGAGGATTTGGCCGCGCATTAGAGCTAATCTTGTACAAGCATAAAAAAATAAAGCAGCACATTCATGTTTGCTTCCTGCGTTGTGAACGTAGCATTAGAAGCTCTTGACGCTCCTGCTGCTCAAAACGCGCTGCAGGACCTTTCGCTGCACCTTGATGCGCGTCAACCATTGACTTTGCATGTAAACTAGCTGCTTCTGCTACCTGAATGTAGCATTAGCTTGTTAAACTCGCTGCAATAAGAGCTTCTGATGGAAGATACGGCTTCCTCAGCTCTTCATTTCATCTCTGCAGGAGTTGTTCTCTTCATTGGTTTCATGGCTTTAATGCGGCACATAAATGTCCAAATGTGTTAATTTGCTCTCTGTCGTTCCTGCTGCTAGCATGTGCTAAATGAAGATTAGTGCTTTCTTCTTTTAGATGCCTCAGGGCACTGTGTGGGGTATCTTGCATATTATTAATTAAATCCTGTCACTTGACATTTGTTAGATAATTCAATATTATAATGTTTTTAAGAATTCCTGCATGGTTGACATTTGGCTGTTTAAACCATTATTAGCTGAGGTTAAGAAAATATTTTAAGAACGGTTAGCTTTTTTAACAGCTTTTTTATGAAAAGGGGCAGACATTTGTCTTGTTTTGCATAGCAGTAGGGCATTAGTCAGAGTTATGTTTGCTGTCTGCAGATGGTTAAAAATGATTGATGGAAAGGCAGTGATGAAATCCGCCCAGCGACATGTAACCTCTCTGCACTCTGTGTCTGTTCGATTTTATTTGGGACTGTAAAGTTGAACTCTCGACTTTCAAAGCTTTAAATTGGCTCGCACATAAACATGTCTCAGACCAGTTCTGGGACCCTGTTGTAGACGATGGACTGATCGGCTCTAGTCACAAACTGAGTACTGAGTTGAACCGATGAACCCAAACTGCTGATGAACTCTGTTCATTTTTTATTTTTGCCGGCATTTTCTCTTATACAGTCGTCCAGTTGGTGTTATTCTTTGTTCTTCATTAATATGTAACCAAGACGTTTATCTTTCAAGTGCATGGGATGCTGTTATGATTTTATAAATCAGATGTTTGGTCCAGAACAAGAGTTGCGTCACAGGAGAGGAATGTTGACCAACCTGTGTGTCGCTCTGTCATTTCCGGCCTTTCTCGGCTGTTTGTTTAACCTGACTAGAGCAAACATTAGGCTTCTTGGAAATGAAAGCTGATGGACAGGGATTGCTGTGCAGACAGCCAGAGGCCGGTTGTAACTTCCTGTTAACTTGCATTTCATTCCAAACGATGGCAGATTTTCCACTGACCTGCCATTGAAAGTGGAATTCGATGTGACATGACTGAGTGTGGACGTAATGGAATGTACAGAATGTTATAGAACTGTTTTTTCTACAGGATAATGCCAACAAACCGGTGCGTCCAAAGTCGGCCATGTTGCCGGAAAAAGACTACAGCCTGTCAGAGCTGCTGAGCCAGGTGGATTCTGGGATCTCGAGGAGCTTCGATCAAGTGAAGGAGGATAGCATCCACAGCAAAGAGAACACCTGTAAGAGACTGTCAGGCATTTCCTCTGCGGATTCTGCCTTCTCCTCTCAAGACTCCATCACCCTGTCTTTTGAGAAGGAAGCCACTTTTGGTAAGAGCTAATAAGTTACCTACAGGTGAAGATGTAGCCAACATGAGTAATCTATCTTTTAAGGACCTTTTTTGTCCTTTTATACTTCGCAGATTCTGCTGAAGTCCAGAAGCGGAAGCTCTGTGAAGCCATCAGGACCAAAGACACTGCTAAGCTAATGAAGATCCTCCAGCCTCAGGATGTTGACCTCCCCCTTGAAGGGGGAGATAGCCTGCTTCATTTCGCCATTACTTTGGGGAACGAGGAGGCCGTCAAGTTCCTCCTTTTGAACGACGCTAATCCCAATCTACCGAACGCACGTGGCTCCACACCCCTCCACCTGGCCACAGAGAAGCACCAGAAGCCGCTAGCTGAACTGCTGCTTGGTCGGCGCAGGACTAATGTGAACACTAAAGACGAGGACCAGTACACGCCTTTGCACTGGGCGGCCCAGAATGGAGACGAGGCCATGACACGGCTGCTGCTGGACCGGGGAGCGACCATCAACGAAACCGACGGCCAGGGACGTACCCCGGCCCACGTGGCGTGCCAGCACGGCCAGGAGAACGTGATCAGGGTTCTGCTGAGCCGCAATGCCGATGTTCAGATCAAGGGCAAGAACAACTGGACGGCGCTTCACTTCGCCGCCTGGCAGGGACACCTGGGCATTGTCAAGCTGCTGGTCAAGCAGGCCAGCGCCAACGTGGACAGCCAGACGACAGACGGCCGAACGGCGCTGCACCTGGCATCCCAAAGGGGGCAGTATAGAGTTGCGCGGATCCTGATCGAGCTGGGAGCGGACGTCAACATCACTTCATCTGAGTTAAACACACCGCTGCACGTGGCGGCGGAAACGGGCCACACAAGCACCTCCCGTCTGCTGATAAAGCACCAGGCGGATGCTAACCTCCAAAACGCTCAGGGACATACGCCTCTCCACCTAGCTACGCAGCGGGGCCACCTGGCCACTGTCAAGATGCTGATCGCAGAGGGGGCCGACCCTTATGTAACCAACCACGTGCAGCGCACCCCCTGCCACTTGGCGGCAGAGAATGGACACGGCGAAGTTCTGAAAGAGCTGCTCCATCACTGTCCGGATGGCAGCAGCCTGTCGGATCAGCAGGGACTCAGCCCGCTGCACCTGGCCGTGCAGGGCGGACACTCGAACGCCATTACCATGCTGCTGCCGCCGCAGGTATGCCAGGACTTGGTAGCTGAGAGCACAGTCCAGCCGTTAGCCGAGGAGCCTCCTACGCTGGAGGTTAAGCAGCTCCAGAGGAAGGTTGTCATTCTCAAACTGACTGAGCACAAAGACAAAGACTGCCCACAGCCCCCCAGCCCGCAGTGTGCTTCAGCACCATGCTAACAGCAACAAACACACTGCGGACACTGTATAGAACTGCCCCCCCTCCCCCATCGGCTGCCTCAGACTCTGTTAGGATTCCCAACAACTGGGCCAGTGGAAACATCTTTTGAAAAAAAAAGCTTGTTGTAATTTGTACACTGTAAATAGATTGTATAAAACTTTTTGTTTTACTTTTTTGGAGTCATTATGCTCTACTTTGCAGACACTATTTTAAGACTGGTAATGTGTTGGACTCAACCAGGGAATATGTCCTTTATTTAGTATTTGGAATCTCACAGCTCGGCCTGGACGTAACGCTTATCGGAATATAAACTGCTTACAGCACGTTAAATTAGCTTGTTTGTTTGGAAACACCTCTGTTGTTCTGGAGCTGGTACAGTCCAGTGCTGCTTTCTGTATTAAAATACTAATACATTTATCTTTTATTGAACTCTGCTTTATTTATTATTTTAATGGACTTAAATTTGGAAATTGATTGATAAGATTGTACGTCATAATTTGGCTATCTTTAATGATTATTGGGTCAAAGCCGAAATTTTTGAAAGTTTTTCATTTTGTGTTGTAATCGGGCTACTTATTTTCTAAAAGAGGATTTAAAATATATATATTTTTTGTTACAGCCTTAAGCGGTGGGGGCAAAAATGGCTGGTTAGACCTTGGAGAAAATGTTCATTACTTGATCTTAAACTTATTCTTCTCCTTTTTGATTTACAAATGTTTTGGGGGAAAAAATAAACACCCCATCATGTCGCTGCAAGCTCGGAGGAGAAAGTCTGTCTATTTGCCACTGCTCCACCTCCACGTGTGCGAGACCTTTAAGCCCCACTATTAACAGGAGTTGGCATGTCTGCAACTGCAGCCCCACCTGTAGTGTTATTATTATCGTTCTGCCTTTGCTCGGGAGCATGCTCAGGTTGGCACCGACCATGGGAACTGCCCCTGAGGGGGATCTCAGGCTGTAAGATGATGGATGAGTGAGAAGGGGCGCTGATGTACGACTTGCAACTTCAGCCTGTTGGCTAATTCCTCAGACCACTTTGAGGTTTTCATCACTTTAAAACCACCACACCAAACACCGCCACCCCCATCATCCCAAACGCCTCGAGGTTGAGCTTTTTGCAAACAGAGAAAGTTCATGGAGGGGGGCTGATGTGGGAGATTGGGTTGTTTTTACAGTTCGTGTTAATCTGACGCCTCTCTTGTGTACAATAGGCTCTTTTTCTGCCTGTTGCCTGGTGATGTGTCTCATCTCCAGCTAGGACGGGACAATGTGAACTTGTTGGCCAATCTCAGCTCTTATCTTGTTCCAGGGTCATTGTTATGCTGGTAAAACAAGTAAAGTGCCTATTGAAGGTAGTCTGACAGCTTCCTCTTTTTCACATGTCGCTTTAAACTACAGCTATTTGGAGGATTGACCAACAGAGAAGAAATGCATAGCTGGGAGACAGGAAGGAAAGTTAAGAATGGTTTACATGATCATGACTCAGTCAGCCTCCTCAATAAAACCCATTTCAGTTGCTTCAGAATGAATTAGTTCTTTCTTTTCTAGTTACTATATGTATATTTTTGGTTTATAACATTAAATATGTTGATTTTTCTGTTGGTTAAGTTACCAAAAATGTGTAAAAGTTTTTACAGAGGATCTGTGTGGGTGGATGTGATGCTGTTACATGTTCCTGGAAGATGCCATAGGCTTGGTTGCGAATACCTTTGTTTCCTTCATAGGGAGGATGAATCTGTCTCCGTCTTCCTTGTTTAACCCTTCTCTGTCCTAGATGAAGCAACTGGTGGAGCAATTAACACCACAGTCTATATGTCATGTTTTCACCTCCAAGATTTTGCCAATAACTCCAAGCATCCATGTTTAGCTCCATTTCTCTCCTAGGTTAAATTACTCAATGAGCTAATACTGCCAGTAGCTAGTTTATTTCTATAGAGCAAATTTACAGCACATCATATCAAAACACTTTATGGAGACAATTTAACCAGATTATCCAGTTAGATTGGTTAAAGGATTTGTCTAAAAGGAAAACCAGCTGATAGCATCCAGTTATTGACTTTGCAGGATTTCCTCCACCTTGATGTGCACCTGGCAAGTGGCAACAGTAGATATCAGCTTGCATTATATCATTAACTCTACAGCAATCCATTGCACCAAGCATGCATACAGTGACAGTAGAAAGGAAAACTCAGGCTCAGTTCAAGGAGAAACAGAGAAACGAAAGAACATAGAAGAACTGATGCATTTATCCATAAATACTTTCTACTTTGGAAAGGTAGGTGAATAATTGGCCTTGACAAGGAAAGAAATAGTTAAGCAGGTGAACTCTGAACCAGGTTTTATGTCAAATGGATAAAAGAGAGGACATACAGTTAGGGTTTGAACTGACAAATACTGATGAATTGCAGAATAGAGATGATGAATTGGGGTCCCTATGTCCTCCAGCAGTCTAAGCCTATAGCAGCATATCTATAGAGATAGCTCAGGATAACCTGAGCCACTTTAACAATAAGCTTTATCAAAAAGGAAAGTTTTAAGTCTAGCCTTAAAAGTAGACAGGGTGTCTGCCTCACGGACTAAAACTGGTAGCTGGTTCCACAGGAGAGGAGCCTGATAACTAAAAGATCTGCCTCCCATTCTATTTTTAGAAATTCTAGGAACCACTAGTAAACCTGCAGATTGAGAGTGAAGTGCTTTGTTAGGAACATAAGGTACAATCAGATCTTTAATAAATGTTTGGGCTGTTCCTGGTTTCGTTGGGTTTTCCTAGTTTAGTCAAGAGTTTAGATTGAAATATGTTTGACTAGTATTTGAATGCTTTTTGTTAATAAACTTTTTGAACGGAGGTTGTTGTGCATTTATTCTGTACGGGTGCAGTTGATGATGATGTAAGGTTGAATCACACTTTTTAGCTTTATGACATCAGACAGGGTGTGTGCTCACAGAACATATTACAGTTCAGAAGTTATTGGATGAACATAAAGTTACAGCAGCATTTAAATTGAAACTAAATCAGTGATCTGTAAAGAACATGATGTTGGGCTCACTGGATTGTGTGCTGAGCTGCGTTAGGGTTTTTTCTTACCTTTTCTTCCTTAGACTCCAGTCCTGACGAGCCTCCAGCTGGTTCCAATTGGACGCTATCAGGGAGCAGTATTTAGAGGAGTGGATTCCCTGGGACGGACGCCAGTCGGTTAAAGTTACACACAGTGGTAACCTACCTGCTAGCTCTCCTAAGACTGAACCGATAGTTTTGACTTAAGCTTACCTCCGTGTCCTCCTTCTCTCTCCTAGAAGCCTTGCTGTTTCCAAGCCGGTCCTCCTCTCAGTCCTCCTGGATCCTTCCCTCGACTGCTCCCCTGCCTGTCCACCCTCTGGAGCTCTCAAGTCGAAGCCCCCCATCTCTGTCTAAGACTCAATTCCAGTGGGCTCTTCCGACCTCCCCTCCAGCTGCACCGCTCTCCAAGAACTGTAAGAAATCAGCATCTTCTCTAAATAACTCAGATCCTCCTGCCAGCATCTAACTTATATCTCTCTCCGTGCAGTTCCTGAAGAAGCCGCTGTTATCCGAACCATCACGCCAGGCTGAACTCTATTCTGTAAAACTTTTCAATAAACAATCTAACTGCTCCACAACTCGCATTGTGTCTGCGCCAGAGTCAACTTTTGAATCATGTCAGAACCGACTGGCCAGCATGACTCTGCAGCACAACTACGAACCGCTTTATCCGAACAAGGAGTTCTCCTTGGCCGTCATGATTCGGCTATCTCAACAATAGCTCAACAACAAACCTCAATCATGCAGACTCTTAGCCAGCTGTCACTCCAAGTACAGGAACTTAGCTCCAAGTTGCCGTCTCCTCCTCCTCCTCCTAGACTTAACCTATCTGCTGGTTCTGCTGCCTCTTCCAGGTCTCCCATCTCCAGAGACGTTGTTTTGCCCACTCCTGAGCCATTCGCCGGCGACCTGAACAAAAGCAAGGGATTCTTGCTACAGTGCTCCCTAGTGTTCGGGCGGTCCCCGCAGTCATTTCCGGATGACGCCAGCAGGATCTCTTACGTCATTGGCTTGCTCAGAGACAAGGCTTTAAGGTGGGCTGAAGCAGTTATTGATGATTCAAACATTTATGAGTACACCTTTGGAGAATTTCTGGACTTATTTAAACAGACATTTTGCTTACATGTTGGAGAGGAAGATGCAGCAAAAAGATTGTGGACTCTAAAACAAGGAAACAAGTCAGCAGCAGAATTGGCAATTGAATTTCGTACTCTTGCAGCAGAATCCGGTTGGAACGAGACAGCCCTCAAGGGGGCGTTCCAACATTCTCTCAGTGAAAGGCTAAAAGATGAATTGGCCTGCCGAGAGGAACCAGAAACCCTGGACCAGTTAATTAATCTCACCATCCGGATTGACAATAGGCTCAGAGAAAGAAACCGTCAGCGAAATGTAGCAACTTCACACCATGCCTATGCTATGACGCCTGACCCTCAGCCTCGCCCCCTGTCTCCCGAACCCATGCAGATCGGTAGAGCTCGGCTCTCACCTGAGGAACGCCAACGGCGGTTGTCATCTGGCTGTTGTCTGTATTGTGGTCACCCTGGTCATTTGATTTCCACCTGTCCGGTTCGCCCAAAAGCCTTTGCCCGTCAGTAAATCTGGGGGTGCTGACGGGCAAAACCACGATTCAAGACAACCTCCGCCTAACTATTCATTCGTCCATCTGCTTTGATCGTAAAAACCTCCCTGTGCTCTCCCTGGTGGATTGTGGTTCTGAACAGAATCTTATAAGCCCGGATCTTGTTCACCAATACAAGATTCCAGTTCAAAGACTCCCTACTCCAATTTTTGTGTCTGCCTTAGATGGTAGCGCTCTTAAGACCATTACTCATCAGACTGTCCCCCTTCAGTTTGTGTCTCTAGGCAACCATAACGAACAAATATCATTTCTAGTTTTTCCCACCAAGAACTCCCCAGTGGTTTTGGGCTACCCCTGGTTAATTAAACACAACCCCCAAATTAACTGGTCTCTTTCCCGCATTGAGTCCTGGAGCCCTGAGTGCTCTAATTGCTGCCTCCGCTCAGCTCTCCCCCCTCAGAGCTCCATGTCCAATCCTCAGCAACCTCTAGCAGACCTCTCTAAGGTTCCACCTGATTATCACGATTTACAACGCGTCTTCAGTAAGGATTTAGCCCTCTCCTTGCCTCCTCATCGGCCCTATGATTGTCCCATCAATCTTCTTCCAGGCGCCCCACTTCCCTCTGGCCGATTATACAACTTATCTAGACCTGAACGTCTGGCCATGGAGAACTATATAAACAGTTCTCTCGAAGCAGGTATCATCCGCCCCTCCTCTTCTCCAGTTGGGGCCGGTTTCTTCTTTGTCGAGAAGAAGGACAAAACCCTCCGCCCATGTATAGATTATCGGGA